AGGATGGACAGAAACACCTGTGGCTGAAGCAGCTTGATTTTTTCCTCTCTCTCAAAGATGAAAGCTTCAAGTGCTGTTTATCTGATGGGGACAGTGTTGGTGGTCTGCTGGGTCTTGCACAGTTGTTAGGAGCCGTAGCTTTTAATAATTTCCAGCTTCCAATCCAAAAGTTTCTAGTTTTGGAAACTCCTGTTTTTTTTCATTTATTTCCCCCTCTTTGGTGCCAGTGGATTATTTTATATCTAATCTCCTCACAAATATCACCTGAAAAAGGTGTAACTTGTACTTCTAAGGCCATTTTGGCCAGAAATTCGAATAAATAAAGGATGGTCTCTTGTATGTGAAGGGATACAATCTGCAGTGTAACTGTATGATAAGTGGACCTGATAAACTGGATAATGAGAGTAGATACATGTTTGGTGGACCTAATAAAGTAGCTGCTGGTATGTACAGGATCCCGCTTCATGATGTTGAAAAAAAACCCTGTGTTTGTGTTTATGTGTGTGTGTGTGGGTCTGTCAGTTTGAAGAAGAACTGTAGAGTCACCAAACCCACTGTGTGATTTATTTGTTTACCAATCCTGCATTGTTTAATCCGGGTCACCTGCCCAGCACAGTTGCTGACTGTGCGTTGTGCTGTTAAGTCAGCATGACAGTGAGCCACGTCCTGTAAACACTGCTCTGTTTGTGTGTGAGCTTGTGTGTGTTTGATCGTGTCTGTGCTGAAGAACGTATTTATCTCTGCACAGTCTTCTCTGTTTGTCCCCATCAGGTTTTGATCCAATGAGTCATGCTGTTCACGCCACACATTTGCATCTTCTGATTTGTTACAAAGTTGTTTGACCTCATCTCCACATCTCTGAGCTGACCACAGTCTACGTAATTAAATAACACACACATCATGTACAGCTGATGTGTGTTTAAAACAGACATTTTGATCTAAAGGCTTACATGTTTCACAGGCAGATGTACTCCTTTATATCATCATTATCATGTCAAGGCCCAGTCCCATTTCACCCCTTGCTCCTACCACTCAGCCCTACCCATAACTGCAGCACTATTTAAGGTGGAACATAAAATTCAATTGAGAAGCTGGTGAAAAAGAAGCTAACTTGAGCTTTATATTTGTATATGAGCTTATTATTTAAGAGCTCTGGCAGCTTTCTTAGCCGCTTTTATTATTTTTTGTAAAATGGGATGTTCTGAGCTCTGGAGATGTGCAGGCTGTACAGACTTGGTCCACCAGTGTAGAATCTTCTCCTCAAAGTGTTTTCTGGAGACTGCATCTAAAGCATGTACATATCTTTTCATGTTTTCTGTGGTCATTCTGATCTAATTTGCTTGTGATCTTCAGCCACCTGCAGGGCTGTAGCTGCAGTAAAGGTGATGAGATGAGCTCCAACAGAGCACAGTCAGAGTTAGAGCTCGCCTACCAACCTGGCAATGGGGTCTTCTTAATGACACAATTGAATACTATACACCACAACAGTGGTGGTGATAAGAACTACATGTCTGAAGAGTTTAGTGCCTCTAAAAGCTACTTCACAGAAAGGTATTATATAAATTGGTTACAAATACCCTACCTGATGCCTGAGGCCAGGCTTACATGTGTGTGTGTGTGTGTGTGTGTGTGTGTGTGTGTGTGTGTGTGTATATATATGTATATATATATATATATATATATATATATATTTATGTGTGTGTGTGTGTGTGTGTGTGTGTATGTGTATGTATGTGTGTGTATTTATATACACGTATATGTGTAAATATGTATACACTGATCAGGAATAACATTATGACCACCTCCTTGTTTCTACGCTTTTTGTCCATTTTATCAGCTCCACTTACTATATAGGTGCACTTTGTAGTTCTACAATTACAGACTGTAGTCCATCTGTTTCTCTGCGTTCTTTGTTAGCCCCCTTTTACCCTGTTCTTCAGTGGTCAGGACCCCCATGGACCCTCACAGAGAAGGTACTATTTGGGTGGTGGATCATTGTCAGCAATACAGTAACACTGATGTGGTGGTGGTGTGTTAGTGTGTGTTGTGCTGGTATGAGTGGATCAGACATAGCAGTGCTGCTGGAGTTTTTTAATGATATTATATTAATAATATATTAATTAATAATTAATAATTAATATTAATCCATTTATTATGAAGTGGGACATGCAGGATGATGACTTACATCACTATTTTACCTTTATCAGTATTACATATAAAAACCCAGAAGACATGTGCAGGTTCAATAGTGGTTTTGTATAAAAATTAAATGGTTGTGTTTAGACATAGGCAAATTCTAGTTCCTGGCAAGTTTCTCTACAGTGCACCATTTCTCGTCTAACCACTCTGAATGACTTTGTTTACATCTTCTGAGTTGAATTATGAGTATGTTTGTGTGAGTGTCGAGGGAATGTAGCGAAATATTTAGAATGATTTGATTAGATGTATCCAAACTTTTGACTGGTACTGTACGGAGAAGTAATAAAAAGGCTTTGAACGCTGCTGCACATTTATTACAGGAAAGCCCAATTTCCTTCTGCTTGCATCATGGAGAATTCCGCATGAGTGGGTGGAGGCCTTGTCAGGAAAGCACACATGAAAGATTGATAAGTGAACTAGGCTGGGCTCGGGGAGGAAAAAAGAAAAACAGCAGGTGTTCTTGGGGAAGACATAGGCTACATGGTAGGGGTGGCTGAGTTTTAACATATAGCAATGGGACACCAGTCCAGAATGGGCATGTGATCATTAGGCCTGGGTGATCAAACAAATATGAGAATTATCAATTTCAAAAATTATGTCTGATATTGATAGGCATTTTAAAGATACTATTAATAGAATTATTGTCATTCCTCAATCCAGCTTGAGCAGCAAATGCTTGCACTTTGATCAGCTGCTGCTTCAGCTTACTAGGTTGTGGTTCACTTGCTAGACTGGGAGGGAGAAGAAGTCTAGCCAGTCACTTTTAACACCTTAAACTAGCAAGACAGTGAGGAGAGCTTGCAACAAAGGACCACACCATCATCTACAGTGTGCAGTTGATTTGGTTGTCTTAAATCAATGTAATGTAGAGCAAAAGGGCTTTCAAAATACCATTCACACTTTAAATTGAGCATTAGAAAATCTAAAAAATTATTGACAATAACTGATTTCGGCTGATATGGAAAATATGTCATAATTGGCCATCCACCGCCTCCACTCTCTCCTTCCTCTTTCTTTTTCTCGGATGCCGACATGTTGACAGCAGGCAAAGCTGCTTTGATGTGCGTTCATCAGACATAGCTCCGAGGCTCGGGAGCATGTTTGCATGTTGTTTACTTGGTCAGTTATTTTCTGTAATTTTTTTTTTTTTCACTTTGAAGCCGTGCTGCATCTTCGCTGTGTCTGTTTATCAGCGGCGGCCAGGAACACGAGGAGAAGCGACAATAAAGTCTATTCCTGGATGCATGTTTATTTTTTCGCTGAGATGTGTTGTCTGCATGCTGTCAAGGAGAGAGTGTGGTGGGTGTTGACCCTCGTCACATGTAGCCGTCTGGCCGTTTCTGACAGGCTCCACGCTCTGCCCTGTCTGACTGACAGTACTTTCATGATGAAATAGAAACCTAGAGTTTTTGCCCTCTATCTCTCTCTGTGTCTCCCTTTTTCTGTCTCTCTCTCCCACAGCCTTCCTCATATGTTTTGAAAGACTGTCAGTCAGGCGCCTTTTTTATTTTTTCTACTAGAACATGGGTTATTGCCTCATGTGGCTGCTTAATAAACCTCAGTTTTCTGTGTTTATAATCATTCTGTCTCTCAGCTTGTCTGTGAAAACTGATTGGGTACTAGGGCCTGATATATTGTTTGATCTGAAAAAATTAAGCGATTCCGAATTTTTTTTTTTCTGCAGAGTTTCCGCAGATTTTTCACTGACAATGTCTGGAAATAGAAATGTTTTATTATACAACATAAAAATTGAAGAAAAAGTTACTTTTTGATTGATTTGTTCTGTGCCTTTTTTAAGTAGAACCAGTAGGGAACCCTCAGGGCCAACAGAGAAGGCCCAATGATTTCTTAGAACTTAAAAAATACATTTCTGTGTCTTTGGTTAATTTCTATTTAAAAGAGCCATCATGCTTGTTGTTTTTTAACTCTGCAAGTATTGTAGCACTACTCTTACTCACTGGTTAGGTTTTGGTTGGGAAACAAAAGGGTTAAATTCTTCAAATGGCCAACGGTAAATTGTCTAGTCAGGATTTGGTATTTGGGTAGATACAGCCAAGTTAGCTCTTCTATTAGCTGGGCCTTCAGGAGCTGAACAGAAGGCCTTACATGTAGGTTTAGCTATCAACATAATTATGTGACAGTGAAATCAACCTTTCTTTTAATTGGTGGTACCATTTTTGTGAGAAAAACATCACTATAGATCTTCTAGACATGTCACCAACTATGAATATGAGCTATTGTCTAACCACATTTCATTAAGATGGTAGAAATGGAAACCAGCAGCAGCTCTGTGACAGAAAGAGTCACTGTAGAACTGCTACATAGAAGGTAGAATATATGTCTGTTACAAGCTCAAATAAAACATAACAGGTTTGCAAGCTTTAAATGTCTGTGTTTATTCACACACCAGTGTGAGTTTAGTGCTAATATATTATTAGAAATCCCATAGGGGAGCTAGCATATTAGCATTATCATATTTCCTTTCTTATTTTTCAGTTAATAGTCATGGTTCACCATGGAGCACAACAATGTACTTTTGCTCTTATTTGAGAATTCATCTTTGGGAGTTCATGTATTTACCTGTTTAAAGGTGTAAAATGTAAACTACAAGTGGCTTGTGGTTTATCTGTCTAACGAAAACTATTGGAGTCTGCTTCATTTTGGATCGTATTAAATAATATTGAAAATATTTTTAGTTATTAGAAATCTCAGCTCTTTTTTAGCTCTACAGTTGGTCAGTATGTGTCATGACTGTATTGTAGTATGAATTCTTAATGTGTGATCTGTGTTGTGTGTTGCAGGATTGCTCGAGCAGCCTCAGTGTTGTTGTCTGACCCTTGTTTCCAGCTGCATTCTATCCAGCACCTGCTCGGTGAGGGAGAGGCCAGTGCAGCTGGAGCTGACCACAAACACTTCTCCCTACATGCCTGTGAGTTCAACTACTCCTTGTGTTTCTGCTGATACTGTTACTGTCGCTGTTGGCAAAATGGCAAAAATGGTATATTAGAATAGAATAAGTAAGATTACTGAAAGTTTTGGTATGTATCACTGTATAATTTTTCTGGATGTCCTTTCACTTTTCATTAGAGCCATATCTAATAACTGAAGTAAATCTAAAAGATTTTATTACATGAAGTAGTAAACACCAAAATTAGTAATATATAGACAGATGTCAGTATTGCTTTCTAACCCAAACGAGATAAAGACGAGTGTATCTAAAACACACAGCGGCTTCTCTGAGCCCGGCAAAAACGGGTGCTGAATGTTTTTTTGAGTCTGAGAGTCATTTGACTCATGTGCGTCTTTTACATGCTTAAATCTACGACTGTCAGAAGCTGCTGGAATTTAATAAAAACTACAAGCCTTTCACACTATCAGGTTTAGCTGAGAAGCTGTGGAGCCTTTTGGCTTGTAGCCTGACATTGTGGCATTTTTAAGCCTTATGTCTCATTGCCTGAAGCAGCTGACTGAGCAAGGTGGTGCACACAGAAAGCTGGCTAGTCTTCATGATAGGCTAATGGCTAACAGCTAACCCCAAGCGACTGGCTTTTCCTTCCACCCTCATTTCCCCTTAACTCACTAACTCCTTACAATCTGATATCTGCTCTTTTGACAATAAACTGGACTAACCTACCTCAGTCTGCAGCTTACAGAACAAGAGGTGAGGGAATCAGTGTGTTTTGCTCTGTTCTTATGTCGCGTTATCTGCAACAAAATTGATATCTTAAAAAGAATTTTAACTGGGTTACTGGATGTACTGGAATACCACCCACTACGAATACTATTTAAGCACTTGTCAGCTCAAGGTGGAATATTATAGTCTGTTCTGTAACAAAGTCATCTTCACAGCAGAACAGAACTGTGAGAAATTATTGTGTTCAGTATGTGATTTATTGCAAAGTAGTTCATCACAGGGGATAACAAACGCATGCTGCAATTGAATATCAATTACTTCTAACTCATGGCTCATTAAAACAAGCGAATAAATTCTGTGGAAATTGCAGATTCTAAACTTTTGATTAAAAACATTTGTCTGTGTAAGTAGGAGAGTTATTTCAGGAGGAGATACCACATTGTTGTGTACAGACTCCCAACAATAACATTTCATCTTTTTGTAGAGATAGATACTTTATTGGTCCCGAAGAAAAGACTTAAAGACTTTTTGCCATGTTTTTCATTGTTTGACACTGTGATAATGAAATGGCAGATGTCTGTTGACACAGAAGGTAAAATAAAAACAAATGTGATTTATTGCTTAGTAATATATGTGATTGGGTCAGTGTCACCTAAATGTGACTTAAGTGCATTTTGTTTGACTTTGGGTTCAAGGACAAAAACTAGGGTATATGTATCTTATCTATATATATAAAACTAGTTTTTGTCCTTGAACCCAAAGTCATACTTTTTTCCTCCCAAATAAATAGACATTATAACAGTATCGCATTTTCATGTTTTCACCACCTGTCTTGGTAAACTGAACCAGCCTACCTACGACTCAAAAAGGACAGTTTTTTAATTTACAGAAAATGGCTTTACAAAAATTTAATTTACAAATGTAAAATGGCTGTTGACCTTAGCATTGCACCATAAAGGTCACTTGGGGTCTTTTTGATGCACTACCCTGCCCACTCCTTCTTAAAATCTTGTCATAATAAAAGTCCTTTGTTGTGAGTTGTTCCACTGGACATTTGCGGAAAGCAGAATTTACAGGCAAACGTTTGGCAATGAGTTAAACACTTTTAAAGTAGCCATACTGTGCTATGGTTTATTGATTTTAAAGAGTCAACAAACAAAAAAGGATTCAAACAAAATCATGCCAAACTATTTTATTTAGCAGTTTATATGAATAAATTACTTTTTAAAAAGTGTACTTAAACTGTATGTACAGTTAGGCAGTTGCACCAACTGACATTTTTAGTCCTCAGGAGGCCTGAAATGAATGGAAAAAAAATAAAAATTAAATTAAAATAAAACAGAAAAACAACAGTAATAACTCTACATTTCTCATGGTTCAAAGGCACATTACTTACCTCTGTGATTAGATGACTCTATTTAGATGTAAAAATAAAAATAATACATATTTCTCTATTTTCTCTATCACTTTTTACTTTTGTTACAAAATCTCAATGCATTACTCAAGAAGATAACTAAAAAATGTAGAAGATTTCGAGCGTTAAAAGATGTAAGGAGTTGCGTACCTTTTACATCACCATCAGGTACTTCTAGTCTAGTTGCATCAATGAATAATTAATAAATATCCAGAGTTTTGGCTGCATTTGAAGCTGTTTCTGTAAACACATTCATCTACCAAATAAATGATGCTTGTGCCGCCTGATGAATCATTGGCCTTTCAGCAGTGCATGCTGTGAAGGTGTACTGAAATTTCCTAAACAGTTTTAATTATTAAAAAGCTGTGAATGGTTACAATCTTAATATAGCTCGGAGTAATCACGGGGCCTTTTGGTCTAAACAATGCAGCTCTGCTATAAACACTTATCATATCTTAAGATAGCTCATACTCAACATGCAGTGGGATTGATATACCTCAGTATTCTGTAAATAGGTTCTGTTTGGCCTGATCATATATCTCAGATTACCAGGGAGGTGATTAAATCACAGTTTGTTGCTGAGATCCAGTATTTGTATGTAATATGAACTGTTAATGGCTTTATATAATACATTTACTTTTAACTTGGAAATTTGGTGCTGAGGATTTAACAGAGTGTGACATTTTTGAGAGTTGTAATTATGATACAAGACCATTTCAGCAGTACATTTTCTGTCTGTTCACTTTGAGTATGTGAGTTGCGGTTCATAGGGAAAGTCTGAAATGGGAAAAAGGCAACAAATATATGTGCATCAATCATGTTTGGTAATGTAATATAAATGCAGTCATCAAGGGGGGAAAGTAATTACCCCTTTAGCGAATTTCAGCTACTTGTAAGAATAAGGAATAATTGCCTTTAGCTGATGGAATGCTTGGATAAACAGTTGGAATATTATAGTCTGTTCTGTAACCACAGAAAGTGAATTGTTCTATAATGGTGGTTTAAACAAGGTTTGCACAGATGGAAAAGCCATTTTTCACTGTTTTGTTTTTTTTTTTTTACATTCTGTGGTTGTAAAAGTTAAATGATTAGGGAGAATCACCTCTGATTTCCAAAATTTCTGTATTATTCAGTCGATGAGATGTAACCAAAGTCATCCACAGTTAACCATGTTGATGTGAAATGGTTAATTATAGAGAAAATTCTAGAGAAAAACCGCTCATTTACTATCCAGAATGACTGTTGATAATGTCGATAACAGTAAAGTAGCAGTAAACAGAGAAAAAAACGTTACTTTAGGGCCTGTTTTGCCTTCCAAGGCCCTGCATGTACCTCTCTGTCCTGAAAGAATTAAAAAAGTTTTAAACCCAAAACAGTTCAACCATTCTCACCACCACTGTGAACAAGTTTTTCTAGAGCAGCATTTTCCTTCAAACCTCTCTGTGTTGGTTTACATCTTCGCCATTTAATTACACAGAAATTTTGAAGAATCTGTAGACTTTTTTTACTGCTGTTAATGATTCTATCCTAGTGTACCTATTCAAACCATCCATTAGAGTGCAGGATGGAGCCCAGCTGCAGCAAGCTGCTGTTGCTATGATAGAATCCGCAATTGTTAAGTGGCTTTTAAAGGAACACCTTCAGCGCCTTCAGCATCTGCACTGGACAGAGCTTGCAGGGGTCCTGTGGATAATTAACAAAGAGAAACCTACAAAGGTTACAGCAAAGTAGAAAGCTCCTGTTCCCCTTGAGAGCCTCCACTGTAACAGGAATCCACAAGCTGTATAAATGAAAGCGAGAGGCTACAATCACAGAGGAGTGGAACCACTGACTGTATATGTATGAGAAGGAAAACATTCTTTACTTCTAATATAAGTCAGTGGAACCAGACTTTTTTAGTCATTTTGGGATGTTTCCTTTGGTTGATTCATTGTGAAATGTACATACGATGTAAACAGCGCCACTTTCAAAGAATGGAGATACGAGGTTTTGTTCTGACAGCAGTGATATATATGGTATATACACTCATTGGTTGGAACATGCAGCATTCACGAGAATAATGATACTGAATTACTGAAAGTAATTAAAACCCAGTGATGAAGCTTATTTTGTCCTCTCATTTAACTACGGTCATATGCAAAAGTTTGGGTGCCCTTGTTAAATGACATGTTTTGTTGATTTGTGCAAATATGTTAACACATCTTCTGCAGCGAGCACTCTACTGCATATTTTAGTGCACTGTTACTGTTCATTAGACTGAATTTAGCAAATTGGACCAAAAAACAACAAAATTGAGAAGTTATAGCACATTTTACATATATATATATATAATAATATATATAATATATATATATAATAAGTGTGTGTTATATATATATATATATATATATATATATATAAATATAATATATATATATATGGTGTGTGATATATATAGATATATAATATATATATATATATATGAATATATAATATTATATAGTAAACTCAGCAAGTACATAGAGACTGTTCACTACATTTGCAGAGAAATTTTATTTTCAGAAACATGTTTATTTCGGGTCTATATTTACTCTCAACAAAAACATGCTATTGGACCAGAGAGTTCAAGCATTTGCAAATGACTATATAACAAAATGCGCGGCTATTTAAATGGAATAATCTTTCTTTAGGGCCCAATTTGAGCAAACGAGACAAACACAGTTAATAATAATTAACTGCCTAAAACAGTGCCGTTAAGTGCAATTAATTATGGTAGTCATTTGAGAGCCCTTATATAAATGTAGATATATTTGTAAACGATGATGTCCGAATTCGTAAACTCTCAAAAAAGAATTAAAAGTTTTGAGTTCTATCTTATATGCCCACTTATAGTTAGAAATGG